ATAAGTACTTGCTAAAGTTGCAAGATTGTTCTTGTTAAGTAAAGAGGTAAATTACTGAGATAAAGCAGACTATTAAAACCCCTTTTCAAAATTGTGTGTGTGTGTGTGTGCATGTGTGTGTGTGCATGTATGTGTGTGTGTGTGTGTGCGTGTGTGTGTGTGTGTGTGTGTGTGCGTGCGCGCACATGTGAGTCAGAGCACAAGTGTGGTGGTCAGAATACAACTTTCAGGAGTCCATTCTCCCTTTGTACTGTGGGTTCTGGAGATCAAACCCAGGTTGTCAGGTCCTGCAGTCATCTTGGTATTCTCAAACACTGGTTTTGTGGGTCTGCTCTGAAAGGCATGTTTACTGTGGGTGCTGACAGGGGTGGGTTGTCGGATGTGTCTGGGAACACCTAAGGATTCTGGGATCTGTATTTTTCTTCTTTCTTTCTTCCTTCCTTCCTTCCTTCCTTCCTTCCTTCCTTCCTTCATTTATTTCTCTCTTTCTTTCTTTGCTTCAGTTTCTTGAGGGTAGAAATAGGAGTAGGAATAACCACAGAAAACCAGAAATTTTTAGCAGAAGTCACATGACCTCATGTTTATAAAATAAAAATTTATCCAGACCCAAAGTCTATATTTCATTCTACGGTTCATCGTCTCTGCTAGTTAAAGAATTAAAAGGCAAGATAAGTCTCAAGTGTGAAAGATAGCCGTGGGGGGGGGGGGGGGGGCGGACACATACCTCAGACCCAACAAACAGAATAAGGAAAGGCTTTTATTAGGGGTGAGGATGTGCACACACACAGTTCAGGTTGTGAAGACACACAGAGAAAAGACCCTCTTCAAAGCAGAGGGGGGACTTGGGAGGCTGAAGCCCTGCTCCCCTTAAGGGCGAGGGGGCCGTGTTTAAGGGTTTTTGAGAGGGTCTTCCTTCCCCAGTTTAGAGTTGGTTACTTTGAACAAAGACAGGATAGCTGAGTGGCCCACAGTTGTGTAACATGTCCTCATCGGGCCTTGAGTTTTTGAGCCAGTTCATCAGCAGGGGGCCCTACTTGATATGGATTCACAACACGCCCCCACAGTGGGGCATGGTCGGGCATGCCCGGGGGAACCTAGTCCTAGTAAATTCCGCCTAGTCAGTTCCGGGTCAAAATGTCTCACGTGACCAGGACCCCATGGTTTTGCGTGGTTGCGATCTACATGCATGCGTGGAATAGCCACATGGGCCTGTGTACGCAGGCACGGCCCAGCCTTTTTAAGCCGGTGCCCTGATTCCTGGTCCCCTTCACTCACGTGTCTTTCCGCAGGCCTGTGCACATCTGTCCCTCTCCTTTATCTTAATAAAACTCTTGTTAGTGGATTCTGTCGTGTTTCATGACTTTTTCTTGAAGGGTAAGAGCGCCGCAAAAACCAACACTACTAACAGGAGAAAATGCCAGGCTCGCTATCACGTGGGGAGGTTGAGGAAGAAGCCAGCCATCGTGCAAGTTCACTGTCTCCGTTATCTAGTCAAGGACCCCCTCCCTATCAAGGAACCTATCTAGCTCCTAGTCAGTCACATGGCAAGTAATAGACTGTAGTGTTATTTGCTCTGCCCATGACCTTGGGCTAAAGGGCCCGAAACTCACTTTTCTTTGAAACACCACCCAAATACCACTACAATAGGCTAGTTTTTCTGGATGGTGTTTTAAGTTTGTCTTTTAAATTTAATGAAGTTTTAAAATTTAATTTAAATCTTTATAGTAAGGATTTAATTATAAAATAAACGAAAACTAAAAGGCAAAAAAAAAAAAACAACCCAAAAAACCCTTAAAAAGGAACCTTGAAGATTTTCAGGCTACCTTTCACTGCTGGTTAAAAATGTATGTATGTATTGTCTTGTGGTGAGAATTCATTCTAACCTGCAAACTCACGCTGTTGTCTGAATGAACTTTTACCTAGCGCTTCACAATTAGAATAGCTACCAACCAAGCCATCCTGAACATCATCTCCAGCTACTTTATGAAACTTAGAGAATAACTTCTTTAATTCTCATGCCCTTAGGCTTAGGTTTTCATTCATTTTTTTAAAGCTAACTTAGGCTTCTTTGCTTACACTAAGAAAAGGGAAATGGTAGGTTTGGTTTGAAAGGCAAGTTTACTGCGGGCAATGACAGGGATGGGCTATTGAATGTCTCTTGCCAACTCCCAGGGATTCTGGTGTTTGAAGAAATTCGGGAGATATCTGAAATGCTAAGATCTACCAGCTTATAGGACAGGGTGTGGTCCTGTTGGAGAGCGGACGGGCAATGACAGCAGCCTCAAAGAATGTGTAACTCCGCCAGAGGGCTTGGCAGTAGCTCTTAACCAGTCTTTGGTACCTTGTGTTATTTCCCCTAGGGCAATGGGAATCATCTTTACTTGGCTATGCTCTCATCTCACACCTTGGAGGCTTCCCTCCGCTCAGTTTCTCCTTTTTGAACCAACTGGCTCTTCACATGGGACATGTAGAAAGAGGTGACTAAAAGATTGTGGCCCATTCCCTGGACCTGGCTACTAAGTGTGTCTAATTTATCCTTACATAGTCATTTTGGAGCTACAAAGAGCGAATTAATTACACTCTTGTGAGTTCAAGTGTGGTGATATTGTGTCCCCCAATATATTGTGCACCCTAATAAACTTATCTTGGGTCAGAGAACAGAACAGCCAGTAGATTAGACATAGAGGCCAGAAAATAGTGGCACACACACCTTTAATCCTATCACTTGGGAGGCAGAGATCCATCCGGAACTCTGTGAGTTCAAAGCCACACTGGAAACAGCCAGGCATGGTAACACTTGCCTTTAATCCCAGGAAGTGATGGCAAGAAGCAGAAAGGTATGTAAGGCGTGAGGACCAGGAACTAGAGTCCTGTTAAGCTTTTAGGTTTTTGAGCAGCAGTTCAACTGAGATCCATTTGGATGAGGACACAGGGGCTTCCAGTTTGAGGAAACAAGATCAGCTGAGGAGTTGGTGAGGTGAGGCTGTGACTTGTTGTTTCTCTGATCATTCAGCATTCACCCCAATACCTGGCTCCGGGTTTGTTTTTATTAATAAGACCATCTAACAATTCGTGCTACATTCAAGCACCATCAGAACCAAGGAAAGGTAAATGTACAGAGGCTGAATCTAAAAGGACTTGGAGATGGGAGAGATGTATAAAACACACTTGAGGCAAGTTATCTGCACACAGGTTAAATTGGACTGAAGTTGGAAAAAAAGAAAAGATGGTTCCCTGTCAGAGGGTCACAGAGTACCCTAGCCTCTGTTGCTGCTAACAGCTACAGGTGTTTGTACAATTGTTACCATAGTAACACTATGAAAAGGTATGGCTTACAGGAGTTTTGGGTTAGGTACCCTTTGAGCTGCCTTGAATGCTTCATGGGAAGATAGAAGTGCTTTTAATCTGGGTGTGTACAGGTTTTAATTCCTCTTCAGGTATCTTGAAGCCAAGGAATTGGAAGAGTGTGAAAAAAAAATCAATACCCAGCCAAGCTGGAAAAATGGAACACAAGGCGAGGTCTACAGAGACAGCTTCACTCACAGGACTGTGTTCCCACTTTGCAAAGATACTGAAAAGTCGGGAGGATTTGATGTACACTCACTTACTACTTATGATATCCTAAACCGTGCCCCAGAACAGCTATCCTCAGAGTGTCCACATTGTACTAGTTCTAAGAACTTACCTAGAGATGACTTAGTGTATACCAGACGGGACACCATTTCATAGAGACACATTCACAGATGTCTGTATTGAGGGTCCTGGAACGAGGAACAACTGTTCCAGCACTCGGTATGTATGTCTTGAGAATGCAGACCTAGTCTAGAATTCTCAAATTCTAGAGCTAGATCATAGGAAGATTCTCTAAAAAGCAGATGCCCGGGCCCAGTTGTAAGACTCTGAGTTAGTATGTTGGAGTTGGAGTCGAGGAATCTTTACTGTTAGCAAGTTACTCATTTGATTTAGGATCAGTGGGTCCTAGAATACCCTGGTGGCTTTAGTCTCTTCCAAAGTTAGCATGCCAACAAATTAGAGGCTTTACCAGTAAGACACAAACAAAATAGAATATTCTTGTCATGTCATATCCATATTTATGAATGAGTTCCTCTATGAGAAAGAGCATACATTTGTCTTCTTGTTATTGCTCCCTCATTATCTATTCCTTTAGAGTGTTCCTTTCTCATCTTCTGCTCACTTTTTGATGCTTTTGTTATTGTTGTTACACTTGGATTCACTTTGGCGTTCTTTGACCTATTAACTGAAGACCCTTGATGTGATCTGGAATTAGAGCTGTTGGAAGAAGCAACAACACTACAAACTGCAGATCTGACTTCTCCAGCAAAAGCTGAAGGGAAACTGCCGGAGCCTACCTTACATAAGAGAGGGGCAGATGGGGAGGGGCAGGTGGGAAGGGGCAGGTGGAGAGGGGATTTGCAAAACAATCTTTTATCTTCTTCTTTTTTTTCCCCAAGACAAGGTTTCTCTGTGTAGCTTTGGAGCCTGTCCTGGATCTTGCTCTGTAGACCAGGCTGGCCTCGAACTCAGAGATCTGACTGCCTCTGCCTTCTGAAGACTGGGATTAAAGGCATGTGCCACCACTGCCTGGCCACAAAATAATCTTTTCCTTTCAAACTTCCTTTGAAAGTTTCCTTCTGTGATTTGAAGATTGTGCAAATTTCTTCCATAGGCAAATTACTGGAGCCTCGAAGGCCTACAAGTTTCATTAGAAGTGTGCAGTACTGTTAAACATTGGTTACCAATAATGAAAATACATTTCATGTTACAGCACACACCTACACCCAGTGCATATGCACGTGTATGTGCACACACACACAGCCTGTGTATCTTTGTTTGCAAATATATGGGAAATGGAATTAATCTTATTTCATTTTTAATTATTTAAAATATTATTGTGTCTTCTAATACATGGTACTGTTTCATAAGGACATTTCCATACAAGAATATATTGTTCATTGAGCAATCCCCTCCATGCTCCTCACCTGACCATTTCTCACTCCTCCTCCATCCTGCTGGTCCTCTCTGCTTCTCTAGACAGTTTCTCTTCTACGGTTGTGTCATACACACACAATTCTACATATCTGTATGAAACCTAGGAGTGAAACATATGAGAGTTATCTTTCTGAGATTGGCTTAATTCACTTAATATGAATGTCCCCATCTGCATTCCCCAGGGGAAATAATCATCTTAGAAGCATTACTTGACTCGACCAGGAGCATTGATTTTCTGGTAGGGCCTTTCCTTTCTCTTTCCTTTCTCACCCTCTTGCCCCGTTTCCTTCTCTCTCCTTTTCCTTGATGACAGTCATGATGCAACCGTGGTTTTGTTATTTGAAAAAGGCTGAGGTGGGGAATTTACCGTTTCAACAAGTTTGAGTAGGAAAGAGGAAGAGGGGTGTAGGAATACAATGGAAGTTTGTTTCCTAATTTTTCCTTCTTTCTTCTCCAAACAGCAACTCCCTGATTCATTCATCGTCTGTCTGAGCTCATGAAGTATCTGTATCCTGTTGAGAAGCTTTTACTGTCTTAGAGGCTGATCATTCAGAAAGCATTACAAATTAAAAAGCTCTTTGGAATACACCCAACAACAGAGGAGTGCCTGCCTCATCCCTGCTGTCCCACAGTTGGCAAGTTCAGGCCGCTTTATCTCTTAACCCGAAATTCTAGCTGCCTATCCAATCATTCGCTTTGCCTCCTCCTCTGACCTTCAGCACTGACTTCCCCAGTCTTGAAGGGTAATAAAGGCATAAGTTGTGGTGGTCGGGAGGGTACATAGCTCCCTTGTCCTGCCTTAGGCAGGTACAACGAACTTCAAAGGAAAGACAGTCACTGCTGTTTTCAACTGAAGTTGTGATTTTCAGTATTTGTAAATGAACTAAGAGACACAAACACTCAAGGTTTTTCATAATCACCTTTAAAAAATTATTTATTCCTTTTATGTTACGTGTGAGTGTTCTGCCTGTGGGTGTGTATCCTTGATGCCCCTGAAGTCAAAGAAAGGGATCATATCCCCTGGATCTGGAGTTACAGAAGGTTATGGACCATTCACCCTGTGGGTGCTGGGAATCAAACCTGAGCCTTCTGTGAGAGCAGCCAGTGCTCTTAACCGCTGAGCCACCTCTCCAGCCCAACAATCAGCTTTCTTTTTCCAGCTAGCAAGCTCCAATCTCATTGTGACTGTTTTATTGTGTGCACTAAATAGAGATCGTAATTTTGTTTGCTACTCTTATCTAAGTATTTGGTCTTAAAAAAAAATCAATGGAAAAAAAAAAAAAAACCAAAGAACAAAAAACAAAAAGACAACTTTGTGAGTCACTTTTCATTACCAGAGGGGAAAAGTCACCTTATCCCTGACACTGACATCCTTAAATCTCCATAAAGAAAAACAACAGGGCTGGGGTTGCAGCTCTGTGGTAACATCCTTGCCTACTGTCAAGACCCTAGGCTGGATCACCATTATGACATAAGAAAAACAAAAAACACAATTCAACCCAGATTACATTCTTACACTACCCAGCATCTTCCCATATCTTACTAAAAATATCTTCCCTGGCTTTTTTTTTCTTTTTCTTCTTCAACCATCAAGCACCTGGCAAATTAACTCTGTTCCAAGACATATTCATTATAAATATTTCTTTAACGGTAAAATTATGAAACTCTAGGTTTTCGTTCGGCTCTAAAGCAATGAATTGGTCTTATCTTGGTTTTTTTGAATACGCCATCCATTGAATTTCTGAGAGTAAGGCATCCATCAAAGACAACTGGGACCATGTCCAAAGGGCACTCTCTCTGACTGAAGATGGGAAACTATGGGCACTAAGACAATAAAAGCAGTAGGATATTGCAGCACACCTCAGTGACAGAAAAAAACTGAGCTACGCCGCAGGTTTGTAAAGATGCACCAAAAAAGGAAGCCATCCATTACCTCCCAAGCTTGCAAGGATTCCAGCTCATTTATTCTGAAAATTAATAAGGAAAAGATGAAGTAGGTATCAACGTGAATTGCCTGATGACTTTGATACTTCCATGCAGCCTCTGTGTGAGCTTACGTAGTGTAAGGCTTCCATGTAACGTCCTATGATGAGACTTTTGCCTTGTGAACAATTCTGAGGCTAACTTTGTTCGGTTTCGTTCGCTTTCCCTGTAATTTTGTATAAATTAAATTACTCATTGTCCTGCCTTGTATTGGTTTGCATTTTGCATTTTGCTTTTGCTACTTATCTAAGCAGGGATAGCTCATTTCTCTTATAGCAGAGTAATATTCCATTGTACAGATTTATCACAACTTGCTCACCCACTCACTAGCATTTTTCCTGCAGCTGTTAAGATGATTGAATTCCTTATCATAGTAATGTGCTGATTACACTGACTGATTTTCAAATGTTGAACAAATTCTGTGTTCTGGGCCAACTTCCCTGGTCATGTATTATCTTAACGTTGAATTTGATTTGCTAAAATTTTGTCCCTCTCTTTGTACCTATGGGTTTTTTGTTTTGTTTGTTTGTTTGTTTGAGGCAGGGTTTCTCTGTGTAGCTTTGGAGCCTTTCCTGGAACTCACTCTGTAGCCCAGGCTGGCCTCGAACTCACTGAGATCCGCCTGGCTCTGCCTCCTGAGTGCTGGGATTAAAGGCATGTGCCACCACCGCCTAGCTTTGTGCCTATGTTTATAAAGAGTGTTGACCTAAAATTCTCCCCCAAAGCCACCACCGAGGTCTTTCATCAGGATAAAAGTGGTCTTATAAAATAAATTCAGAAGTGTATTTTGCAATTCTTTGTAGAACTTCGAGAAACATTACACTACACATGAAAGGTAACATGGCAGGTATAGTTTAAATGTACATACTTAAAATACAAATGTGCTCCTACCTTTCTCAATTTCTCCCTAATTCTCACAACAAACACACTATATCCATTTTCACAGAGCTGACTAATTGGCCGAATTCGTATGTGACTTGTAATCACAGATTAAAATATAATAATAATAATAATAATAATAAACCACAATTAGAACGAGGCATTTTTTGTATTTGCTAGAGGTGGGACTAAGATCTGCACCATGAACACCCATTACAAGCTTTTATGAGTAACAAGTGTACAAGGTACCCCGCGTCCCCATTGACATTATAAAGTTAACATGTCAATACTTAACTCTTCTTTTCTATGAAGGTGCACACTGCTCCCATCCAAAGAAGGCGCGTGAAACAATGGAACTCCAGGATAGTGGCCTGAAGGCTACTAGTTGAACTGGGCATGCTCAGTCACCAGGCAGATTTTTTTTTTTTTTTTGAAGTAGAAACTACAACTGCACGTACCGGGTGAGCAGGGGTGGGCGTGCCCTCGTGGAATTTAGAACGTTCCCTCAGCCAATGGGGCCTCGCGGCCGGCTGGCGGGGCTCGCCATTGGGGGACCGGGATGCGAGCGAGTGGAGCGCCGGGGGAGGAAGCGGAGGTGCAGGTCGGAGAGGCCGGGCTAGCCGAGCCCATTGCGGGAGCAGCTGCAGCGGCTAGGCAGCATCCAGCGGCGTGCCAGGCGGCCCAGCCCATTGCTTTTACTTTTTCCTGCACCAGCGTAGTCATTATGCCGAAGAGAAAGGTAAGTCCTGCTGCAAACATTGCTCGCAGGCCCTCGAGTGTGCTCGGAGCAAGCCCCCGGCGCTGCGATGGACGCAACGATGCCCCTAGTAACTCGTAGGCGCTGGACACCGCTGCTGCCGGCTCCTTTTGCAGCTGCCTGTTGCAGACCTCTCTGGCCCCGCACCGAGCTCCGAGTGTTACTTTCCCTCCAGGGACGTGTCCTCCTCTCTCCATCAACTCCTGGCTCCAGTGGTTGCCACCTCTTGCCAGCGGCAGCCAGGGCGGGTGTCCATCCCCCTCGCAGGAGTTTCCTCTTGGCAAACTCCAGGTTGTTCTCAGGGTGGAGGGAAAGCAGCTGGAAGAGTCTCCCAGGCCAGGGAAATCGAAAACCGTGGAAAGAGTGAGAGGAGCCAGGCGGGGTCGGGAGGGTCCCCCGGGCAGTGCCCAGGGCGGGAGCGATGCGGGCGGAAGGCCGGGAGAGGGAAAGCCATGTTTCCCTACGCCAGCCCTGCTGCGCCGCCGCCGCCGTGGACCCGTATGTACCCACTCCGGTGTCGGTGTCAATCAACCGGCCGCGAGGGCGGGCGGGGCAGTGCGCAGCGCCCGGTAGGCGGCGAGGAAGGGGGACTAGTGCCAAACACACCGACCCTGGCCAAGGTCAGGGGCCACCAAGCCCTGGCCGCTGCCCCATCCACCACCCCATGCTTGGACGGACAGGGAACCCGGGTCCTTTTAGTCTCTCTTCTGCCCCTTGTGGGTCGTGTCCCCTTCCGCGCAGGGACATCACGAGCCACATGTGGGGGTCACAGAGCTTCTCAGGGTGGGGCTTCGACTTGTCATTGGACTGGTACAGGAAGGGTAGATTTTTTTTTTTTTTTTACCCCTTCCCGAGAGAAGCGATGAGTGAGGACTGATTCCTCAGAAAAAAAAAAAAAAAACAACCTTCTAACCACCTGCCCCAAAGGATCCAAGTCAACCAGCCAGCGTGGCCGTTAAAGTTGGAGCTTGATTTAGATAATGCCCCCCTTTTCCCCAAGACTGTGCACTGATTTGCGTGTGTGTGTGTGTGTGTGTGTGTGTGTGTGTGTGTATGTGTGCTTGCATTATTTGAAACTATCAAAGCTTTAAAATTTTAGAAGCTTTTGCTTTCTTATACAGCGTCACTAGAATTTGATTGTAAACACGTCCTCTCCTTCCACATTTATTTTTTATTACATTTGTTTATTGTGTGCGTGCAGGGGAGGCACTGGTACCCACACGGCAGCAGTAGTAGGTTCTCTCCTGCCATGTGGGTTGTGGGAATCCACAGCAAGCGTCTATACTCCTTGATCCATCTATCTCCATTCTTTAAGAGAAAATCAATCCTATTAATTAGAAGGGTTTTTTTTCCTAGAATTTAACGAGAACCGACTCTGTGGCTCATGCTGGGTGGAGTCCGGTGTGTATTATCTCATTTAATCCCCAGAACCACAGAACTATTTTAGACTCATTGAGCAGGGTCTTCAGCCGGATTGCCCAACATGTCATTATCCGTTGGTTTCTAGTGGAGCTGCCATGGATCCGAAGGCCTTACTTGACTCCATTGTTAACTCTTCATTCAGAGGTGGGTAGGGACGAGGAGAAATTAGGCGATCCCGAGCCTTGCAGTTGAAGAAGCCGGTGGCATAGTAAAGAGCAGGAGCACTTGAGGCTCACTGCCCAAGCTTCTTTTGATGGCAGCATTGTTTTCCCAGTGCTGTTGGGCTAGAATGATGTCACCGTTTGCAGCCTTTTATCTGAGGTTAGTGACGAGCTGGGAATTCTAGCCGAGTCAGAGGAACTAATTATCGAGAAAATGAGTTACAGAGGGAGTGGAGGCTAACTCTTTTCCCGGGAATTGCTAACATGTTTGGATAAGCCGCAGGTCACATGCACCCTCTATGGATAACGGCGCCTGGGTTGGTGGAACTTTTCCTTGATCAAGGGCCACTGATGGCGAAACCATCGCCCTTATTTTCTATCCATCTCTAAAGGAGGAGGGAAGAAAAGAATGGAGGAGAAACTGGCTTTATGTTTTCCTTCTCTGAAAGGCTGGGACCCTCTGTGGAGTTAGCTAACACTCAGCCCTTCAACTAGGGACAAACTGAGTCCTTGATTAACAGAAGTCTTTTTACTGCTTGATATCTGGAGGCCAAACACCTGTTTTGCTACCCGGGCAGGAACAGCCACAGATCACATGGCTGTGATGGCCATCCCACCTGGTAGTCAAGCCTTAGCGCTACCTGGTGGAGTCTTGGAGTTCCTTGGAACTGACATTAGAAACCACTGTCCCCAGGAGAAGCCCACACAGCTATGCAGGAAAGGAACTGGAGACAATCCATGCATAAGCCTTAGAGGTCTATAAAGCCAGGTAATTGCCAAAGGATTTGCATACTCTACTAATGTATTTCCTTGACTAAAGGACTACCTGTTCTGAGCCGGGTGGTGGTGGCACATGCCTTTAATCCCAGTGCTCGGGAGTCAGAGGCAGGTGGATCTCTGTGAGTTCGAGGCCAGCCTGGTCTACAGAGCGAGATCCAGGACAGGCACCAAAACTACACAGAGAAACATGGTCTCGAAAATACAAAACAAAAACAAACAAGCAAACAAAGAACTACTGTTCTGCTTTGTAAATTAAATTGTATGTGCACACATGTATACACACACACACACACACACACACACACACACACACGGGGCATGGGTGGAAGTCAGAGCTCAAAGTTGGCTATCTACCTCTCTTGCTCTCCACCTTATTTTTTGAGACAGGGTCTTTCACTGAGCCTAGAACTCATTGGTTTGGCTAAACTGGCTCTCTCTACCTCTCCAGCACTAGTATTACGGACCCGCAGGCATCTGGCTTTTTTATGAGTACTGAGAATGAAACCCAGGTCCTCATGCTTGAGGGGCAAGCACTTTTCCCACTGAGCCATCCCCCCAACCTGGTAATCAGCTTTTAAAGTCCCACATCATATTTTCCTTCCCGTCTCTGCTCCATGTTTCACTGTCTCATCAAAATGTTATTTAATGGACTTCCAAATTCTGCAGATCACGAAGTCATAATAAAGTCAGTGAAAACACCTGAAGACCTAGCACTGTTTAAATATTATAGGGACACGCAGTTTGTTCTCTGGAAGCTTATATTTAATTCAATGAAATGATAAGATTATCAGACAAGAAAAGAATTGACTGACATTTGGGCTTATATAGGTTACAGAATGTGCTGTTCAGATTCAGAGACCATGGGATAGATAAGAACACAGGTTGAATTGGGGCTGGTTGGTCTTGAAAGTGTGGGTAGGACTCAAGGTAAAATTCAGCATCATTTTCTGTTAGCAGGCATTTGGATACCTCTCATTATACCCTAACATATTTAGGCCTCAGCTATACAACTTCAAGGCCACAATATCATCCATATTATTATAAACTATTCTTAAGACACTTCTTTGTAAGTTTTACACACACACACACACACACACACACACACACACACGTTTGCTTAGTAGTGGCATTAAACCAATTTTTAAATGACTGCTGTTTGTTTTCAGCAATGCAAAGCAAAACTTAACATTGTAATGTCTTTCTAAGATTTAAATAAAGGTGAGTTTTCTGTATTAAATAATGTTGAGTTTTCTGTATTATACAATGGGTGGTGAGTGAGCAAAATCTCACAGACTGGGGTGGTGGTGGGACAATGACTGACTGAGTTCTAGACTGTTCCTCTCTACCAGCCACAAACGCCAGCCAGCATCAGTCATGTTGTGATCCCATGTTCTCCATAGAAGCATGACCAGCAAGGCCTGGATTCAGTTCTGGCCTGGCCAACAAACACATTTTCATGTCCTTTTTGCTTTCAATTTCTTATCCTTAGAATTACTATGTCTGGCATATTATGCCAGGAATTGTCTAGTACAGCAATGTCTACAGAGTAGACATGGTGTGCATAGTGATCTCTTTCCACTTAGAGACTCAAGGAAAAAAAAAAGTCTGGCTCTTCCTGACTTTATTTATCAGCTGTAGGAGTTCCCTGGTGGCATTTTTCAGGTTACTTATGTATGCTATCATATCCCCTGCAAATAATAATACTTTGACTTCTTTCTTTTCAACTTGTATCCCCTTGATCTCCTTCAGTTGTCTTATTGCTCTAGCTAGAACTTCAAGTGCTATATTGAATAGATACAGAGAGAGTGAACAACTTTGTCTTGTTCCTGATTTGGGTGGAATTGCTTTGAGTTCCTCTCCCCATTTGTTTTTGATGTTAACTGTAGGCTTGCTGTAGAATGCCTTTATTATGTTTAGGTGTGTCTCTTGTGTCTCTAATCTCTCCAGGACTTTTTTTTTTTTTTTTTTTTTTTTTTTGGTTTTTCGAGACAGGGTTTCTCTGTGTAGCTTTGCGCCTTTCCTAGATCTCGCGCTGTAGACCAGGCTGGCCTTGAACTCACAGAGATCCGCCTGCCTCTGCCTCCCGAGTGCTGGGATTAAAGGCGTGCGCCACCACCGCCCGGCTCTCTCCAGGACTTTTATCATGAAGGGGTGATGCATTTTGTCAAAGGCCTTTTCTGCATCTAATGAGATGATCATGTGGTTTGTGTCTTCAATTTTTTTTAATATGGTGGATTACATTTACTGATCTTTGAACGTTATTCCTGCATCTCTGAGAGAAACCCTACTTGATCATGGTGAATGGTCTTTTTGATGTGTTCTTGGATTTGGTTTGCAAGTATTTTATTGAGTATTTTTGCATGTGTTTTCATAAGGGAAACTGGTCTGTAATTCTCTTTCTTTGTTGAGTCTTTATGTGATTTGGACATCAGGGTAACTGTGGCCTCATA